AAATTTTCTGTAACTATTCTGCATTACTATTTTTACATTTGGGAGACAACAGTCAACATTATTAAAAAATAAGATGGTCTTAGTTCTCATTTTTTCAAAGCAATCAGCACATATGAAGAGTCTAGCAGTTGTGTGTGTGGCTATATCAGATAATAAGTTTTATTTTCTGCTAGTGTGTCCTAAAGATAGCAAACAAGTTTCACTTTGGTTCTCTCAAACAGCTCTAAGTGGTTGCCTCTTAGTGTCCTGGACAGCAAAGAGTCTGGACCCCACCCAGCTCATGGGAACAGCCCTGGTGGTCACAGGAAGTGGAACTGGTGTGTGTGGCAGCCAAGTTTTTAATCATCGCTGTTCTGGAAGGTACAAGTTAAAATCATCCCCAAGAAACTTCCAGCATGATTCTGGGTCCATGATGCTAATTAAAAAGTGACTAAAAAGTCCACAGCTTCAACACTTTCACAGACATTTGTAAATACCCACTTACTCAGCAATCCAGATACACCTTCCTGGAATGTGTGCTACAATCCCTGCAAAATAACTCCAGGCCTTTCTTTCCTTAAACCTCCTGAGATTCAGCTTTGTATTTAATTGAGGAAATCAATGCAAGCAGCCAGGATGCCTTCATCTTCCAGCTGTAACAGCATAGCTGGGCAGCTCTGCTCTCACCCTCTGCTTCCTCCTGACATTGAGTGCCAAGAGCCAACTTCCTGGCAGAGATCAACCTGTCCCCTGGCCTTCTCTGAAAGCATCGCACTCTCCTGTACCACAGGGTTTGCTCTCTGCTGAGCATCAATTCCAGAAGCAAAGCTCTCCAATGGCTCCCACCCTCAAAACAAAAATGAGTAACACCCCTGGCTGCAATTCTCCTCCACTCCTCCAATCCACTGCTTCCAGGATCAGCTCTTATGGAGGAAGGAGAGGTTCTGAGGTTGTCAACTCCACCTCACCTCACACTCTCCCATCTTTGATGAGGCCTACATGAAAGCAGCTCCACAATGCCATCAGTGCTCCAGGTGTCAGGTCCAGGGGCCATGTCTCTTGCTTAACCTCCTTCAGTAGCTCCTTAGTCCTCCAAGCACCTGAGCCTTCCCTCCTCCCCTTCCTCCCTCCTCCCTCCACTGCTTTCTTTGCCTTACTTCCCAGACAACTTCTCTGAACCTGAATGCCCCCAGGCTTCAAGCTGAACCCTCTCCTCTACCTCTTCTCTGGGACTGCCAGTTCACAGCTTCAAGTGCTAGGCGCATGGTGGTGGTCAGCAGGCTGTCCAATGGGTACAGGGATGGGGTCAGCTCAATGACATGTCCTGGGGGGCACATAATAAGCATCTCAGACCCCCCCTCAAGCCTCTATTCCAGGATCAGCACACTGGTTATAAAAACACCAGGAGCACCTGGCATCTTTCCTCAAACAGTAGCACTCAGGAGGTCCTGGGGCCACTCCTTCTTGCCCACCACATACACTGTCACCTGCATCTCCTCCAGCCTGTCCCCTGCTCACCCCACAAACTGATCCCCAGAGCCACCTCCACTGGCTGCTTCTTCGTAAGAGTAATGGCAAGAAATAAAACCTAAGACATTTTACCACTCTTTTTTAGTTTCTCAGGCCAGTTCAGACGAATTGAAAAACCAAAAAATAATAAACTGCTAATGGTCTTATTGTTAAGAGTGTCTCATAACCTGGGTCCACAGAGTGACTGAGATAATAGAATTTTTCTTATCACCAGAGCAACCAACCCGCCAAAATCAATGTGGCAAAGCTTCCAATCAAGATATTCTCTTACAGGCTCCCCAAACACCAGGGAGCAGAGGAAGCTTATGCCTGGAGCCTGCAAGGAGACAGTAGGTGCTTAGTGAGCAGTCTGGGGGTTATCCATCTATACAGACCAAAATGAGGAACAATGGGGAAGAAGTATTCAATTCACACATTCTATGGACTCTTAACATAACTTCTTAGTTTGGAAAACTGAAATGTTTTTAGTAAGGAAATGCTTCTTTACTTCCTGGATACTATAGTGACTTCATAATATTTATTTATGTATTGACTTAATCAAAAGTAATAGCACGTGAGATGGAAATAGATAAATACTGATGGTTGTTACAGAATAAAAAATAAGATTTGCTCAAACTTAACCATTTCTTGTGGCATCCATGGAGAAACACCTTAAGCCTTTGCTCAGCATATTTACATGGAGCTCCTTTCCATGTACATACCCGGCATTTTACAGTAGTGTTCTACAATCTGCTTTTCTACTTAATACTGTTCTTTGGAGATGCTTCTGGGGGCACATGCCGTATTCTTATACACGACTACACAGAATTCCAGGGCATAGATGTTAACTGCTACATTTAGTCTCAAATGATAGGCATTTAACAGGGCTCCAATTTTTAATGTCTAAAAATGATGCACACACCTATGCTTGGATATATTTGTGGGGGTTGTCCTGCAATGTTTGTGTGTGTCTATATATATGTTTATGACACACATATATGTACATAGATATGTATGTCATTTTTCTCCTCTGTATTCCGGTTTATAGCTTTTGGTCACCTGTCCTTTGGGACAGTTTCTTAATCCATTCATAAAGGGTCCTGCACATGAAGAAATTAACACTATATCATGCATATCACCAAATGTTTGGAGTTTTTTCTAATATACTACTTGTGACTGTGTTTCTGGCATTCCTTCCAAATGTAAAGGTTTTGGATATTTGCCTTTATTTTGGGGTAACCTAAATAAACAGCCAGCCACAAAGCTATACCAAGCTACTAAGCCACACTAGAAAGAGGATCTAAAGATAGACAATGCAGCAGAGGACTGCAGCAAAATTCAAGGCTATTCTAGGAAAAATACCACAGATTGTTTGTTTACACCTTCTTGTATTAACACTTAGCTTCCTCAGGAACAATCCAGAAAGGACTGTTCTGTGATAAAGGAAGAAAGAAAAACAATTCAGCACTCAACAAAAGACCACCTTTGGCAGAGTAGAGGCAAACTCAGCAAAGCTACAGGTTGCTAAAATCGTTGTGTGCATGTGTGTATGCTTGCAAGTATAACTGTTCTTATGTCCTTGCAAGGAAAATTCAGCTGCAGTGGATGATGGAACTTTAAAAGCTAGTACCACCCATTTATTGAGTTCTTCATAGTACTCCAATACTTCCTCACAAATTGATATAGTTATTTTTTAATATATTTATTGTGTATGGAAAAAATTAGCATGTGTGATATTTTTCAGGTAAACAAAAAAATCTATTAACAATAAATGAAGTTTACAGGTTCCCAAATATCTTGCTATAGTGTGATTCCCAAGTCTAGACCAAATGGCAACTGTTTTAAATGCAAATTCTTGTGCCTATTGCCAGATATTGTAACCCAGCCTCACCATTCAGAGCCAGGCACCAGCATTTTAAAGTCCCACACTGACCCAGGCGGTTTAGAGGGCACTGCTCTAAGAAATGTAAACCAGTCTCAAGGAGGTGGACTCCCCTCTTCTAGTAGTGCCCTGCATGCTGGCTTCCCCATCATTCCAGCCATGGAGCTGGGAGGATGAGGATCTTCTCAGAAGAGCCAAATTCTATCATCCCTGATAACATCACGCCACGGTATATTGCTCATCTTCATGATACTGATAAACTCAACTTTCCCCACACCTCACCTTCTAAAGAGTAACTCGGAGTGTGGAATTTTGATCATGAACTGATGGCCATAACAAAAAGAACCCATTCCTTTGCCTTAGAGATAACCTAGATTTAAAAAAAAAAAAACTGAGACTTTCTGATTCTAAGATGAAATAAAAGACAAGGTATATTCTTTCTGCCTTACCAAACAGGCGAGCAATTTTAGCAAGATAAATTGGAACTACAAAAAACAAATGAAACAGTGGTATCTAAGGGTCAAATTAACACTGATGCATGCTAACTCCAGGAAGAAGACCAGTGCAAAGCCAGACAAAAATGGCTCAGCTCATCAGGCAGCTAGAGAAAATCAAGTGCAAGCTATCACTTCCATTTCAGCAGTGACCCCAGCAGGGCAATCAGCCTACTGAGCTCATCATTGTGTTTAAGTTCAAAATGTCACAGGGTAAAATGTTTAACAGTTTTTAAGCCTCCTAATGTAATTTTCAACAACAAGAATTTGTGGTAGTTACAGTACCCACAGTTTAATTCTAGCCAGATGCTTTTTCCAATTTTTAAACTTATTTTTAGCCTACCACATGGCTTCAGTGGAAGCTGAAAATGATAGATAGACACAGTTTTCATCACATATGCAGTGTGAAAATAGTAACACTTGGTGTATTTTGTACAGTTTTTTTTTTTTTTAGGAAAGCAAGAAAATGCACTGTGAAGGAGCACAGTTTAAATATGCTAATGTTACTATCCCAGAGTCTCACAAGGAAGTAAGAAAGATCAAGATACCAACCGTCATCTAAAAACACTGTTGGCATCTGGGTTAGCAGCTTTTATTTAGAGACTTTCAAGTGTTTCATTTAAAATCAGCTGCCAGTGAAATAGCCTAAATGGTCAATGTTCTTTAACTGCATTTTTATGAATTGCCATCATAGCTGACTGAGGCTGGGAATATTCTTTCTCTCTCTCTCTCTCTCTCTCTCTCTCTCTGATTTTAAAGGAAGTAACAGGTTGTCTTTGGTTTTGCTTGCTTTGTTGTTTGAATTTGCTCAGGTGAGATTAGGACACTGGCAAGTGGGTAAAACCAATCAGCACAGGTGAGTTATCCCATCTGTAATGTGAGGACAGGTGAGATGACCACCAGACTCAATTTCACAGCTTCACAATCAATTTACTTGCTCTTGACATAGAACAGGGTCCCTCCTCCTCTGTAATGGAAAACAGGAGTCTGGGCATTATGCTAATCCAGAATCTGCATGTAAGGACATTCCAGGGACCTTTTATTTTGCACAAAGTCACTCGGTGCTCCATAATCACATATTGCAGAACTGGAGGGCAAAGAATTTAGTAAGTACTGAAAAACTAAGATCAACTTACTGGGGATGTGGTTAATCGAAGGATTGTGCCATTTTTTATTTCGTTGCGATTCTGGAAAAGAAAAAACAATGTCTTGATAAATATTCAATTAGAAGCTTGATAAAGAAAAGAATGAAGGCAAATATAATTTAGTATCAACTCTACATAATAAGTGCTCCTATGTTTCCGTTTATTCTTGCTTGAGTAAGAATCTTAACCTGGGTTCCAGATGTGTTAACTTTATATCAAGTTGGCTGGCACATTCAGCAAAGAGGAAGTGAATATAAATCCAAAGAGTAGGAATATGGAGCCCAAAAGTAGCAAACAAAAATAGTAATTGTAAAAGTTTATTTAGGGGATATGACCTAGCAATTTTACTCCTATGTCTATACAAGAAAGAACTAAAAACACATGTCTACACAAAAACTTGTACTGTAATGTTCACAAATACATTACTCATTAATAGTCAACAAGTGGAAACAACCCACCTGCCCATCAACTGGTGGTGAATAAACAAAATGTGGTACATCCATTCAACTGGAAATTCTTTGGTCATACAAAGGAATGAAGTATTGATACATGCTATAACATAGAGGAACCTTGAAAGTGTTACTCTAAGTAAAAAAAAGAGCCAGACACAAATGAACACATGTTGTATGAGCCCATTTATAGGAAATGTCTAGAATAAGTGAATGCATAGAAACAGGAAGCAGATTAGTGGTCAACAGGTGCTGGGGGAGGGGGAATGAAGGTCAGTGCTAATGAATACAGAATTTCTTTCTGATGAAAATGTTCTAAAATTACATGGTGACAGCTATGCACCTTCATAAATGCATGAAAACATCAAATTGAGCACATTTAAAACGGATTTTGGGGGGCCTGTTTTATTATCTCAATAAAACTGTTATTTTCAAAGGTTATTAAGAAGTTAACATTTGCTGGTTCCTTCTGCAAGTTGCCTTGAAGTTAAGAACAAACAACATTAATGAGTAGATCCCAAATCAGTCTGTCTCCACTTGACAACCATATTCAAGGGGAACCTTTAAAGCTACCACCTGATAATAAAAGAAAAATGAAAAAATAAATAAAAAAGATAATAAAGCTACCACCTGGCATCTTTAGTACTGAAGACCAAATTTCACTGGCCGGGTCATTGTCTTCCTAAATACCATGTGCCTGCATCCTTTGTGACAAGCCTCAAGCTGGATTTTGCTCTGGATGCAGTGGAAAATGTCTCCCTGATATGTCAAAGACACATAGATCTCTTGCTCCCTTGGCCAGTTCTCAGTACTTATTGGACAATGAATTTTCTAAACATAACTACCTTAGAAGGGACAGACTTCAAACCAGTATTCCGTCCCAAAGAAAACAACATCCAAAAGTTTCACACCAAGTGCAAGCAGGCCCCAAACCCAACACTGCCAGACCAGAACCCAACTTGGGCATTTTACCCCAATCTAGGGCATCCCAGAAACATAAGGCCACCCCTGGGGAGAGCCAGCAACTCATTACCAGAAGTGTGCAAGCTTGGCTGAATGGCCCCTTGGCAAGAAGGCTCAGGATGGCAAAATGAATTCAAGTCACTTTCAAAATCTCTTTTCAGCTCTAAAATTCTATGATTCTATGAGAACTGAAAAGAAAGACAAGCAAATACTATTTGGAGTATTAAGGAAGCTGGGTATACAGCTTCCTTACTTCCCTGCTCAGCTTCTAAACAAATTGAGATCAGTGTCAGAAGATGAAGAGTTTAAATATCCTCTTTAGTAATTACGGAGAAAAGGGTGCACAGAGGGAACTCCCAGATCAGGCTACCTGTTCAGGGAAGATTTAAGGTAGGTTCCTTCAGAAAGGGAGAGAGGAAAAGGGTATTCTTTCTAAATTTTCCAAGCATGTAGCAAAATAGGTCAGATATGGTTAAAAGTAATCTCTCACTAAATCTGGAGTGGGGACCTTGTTTTCCTAATAACAGAAATAAGCTTCTGAAAGGACCCAGATTGAGGATTTTTATTTTTTTGTTTTTTGGAGGCAGGGTCTCACTATGTAGCCAAGGCTGGCCTTGACCTCACAATCCTCCTGTCTCAGCCTCCAGAGTGCCAGGATTACTGACAGCACTTGGCTTGGACTAAGAATTTTTGTATTTAATTCTTATTTAACTTTATCCTTTAAGTATAGTTACTATTAATTTTAATAATTCTATTTTAAAGATCCAAAACCAAAACTGCTGAGAAGATTAAGTTATCATTTTCCCAATATCATGGCCAAAGCTGGGAGGATTCTTTTCTTGCAGTGCTGGCAATTGAACTTATGGCCTCCTAGACATTAAGAAGAGCTCTACCACTGGGATTATACCCCAACCTCAAGGCTGGGAGGACTCTGACCTAAGTGATCTGCTACCAGAAGCTGCACTCTGTCTGCTGGAGAAGGAAGATGACTCAGGTCACATCTGTTTCCTGACAGGGGCTGTTCAACCATTGGTTGACATCTATGAAAGCTGCTGGTGAAAGCTCCGTGAATTCCTTTGCTTCCCTATCAAACCCAGGGCTACACCAGGTATTGGGAGGAGCAGGACTAGAAGGGAGCTAAGCAGCTGGCCTCCAGCCTCCCACACAGACCTGCTAGGTTCATGTCTCACTCCTGGGACCCAAGCAAGATTGCTTTGAAGAGTCTGAGGTTTGCTTGTTTGTTTAACTCTAAGGCAGTATTCAAACCATCTAAAGGCACAACCGGACTCAGTGCCAGCTACTTATCCAGCCTGACATGTTTCTTCTTCTCCAAACTGGGGAGAACAATTCGCTGCCTAGAGAATGTCATAAGAACAAGAGGTGGATTGTGCACCTGGCATGGCCTGGGATTGGCTCTAAAATGCAAATGGTTTCTGCTGTTCCTGAAGCCGCACACAGCCCTCTGCCCAGAGCATCTCCTTCAACAGTTAACTAGCCTTCTCTGCTCCTTCCCCACACTTTGTACTCAGTGTTTTGCATTTTGAAAGAAAAAAGAAGATAAGTAGGAGAGCTTTTATTGTTCATGACATAAAAACATTCAAGTCCTGAGATAAAGTAGAGAAAACTTGGAAATAAAGGCCATGGTACAGCACTGCTTCCCAGACTGTGTTGTCTCAGGAAAATCAATGGCATCACATGGCTTTTATCTGCACTGATGATCCCTGTCATTCTGGAAGGCAGGCCTAACTTAGAACACAAACTTCATTACGAGAAAGAAATGGCTTGAGTTGCTCTGATTTCATAAATATCACCCAGGAAGTACAGCAATGAGGCAGCTGGGATCGGAAGCACGTGTCACTTCCTAGGTAGGAAGCCTGGTGCAAGTAGCATGGCTGTCCTCCAGCCCAGCTTCCTCAAGCAGAAAGTGGGGACTGTGCCTGCTTCCCACGGTCATTATGAGGACTTACTGCGATCATCCTTCCCGTATGTTTAGAACAGTGCCTGACGCTCTGCAATTGTTTAGGGGGTAAAAAAGTTAACTGTTTATTATTAAGCACAAAAATAACATTCAAAAAGCACTTTGCTTCACCCTTATGTGTACTTAGCTTATCCCTAAATATAATCTGATGAATAAAAATAATAGTGTGATCTATATTACTTTAAGGACAATAGCACATATCCAGTAAATAATAAATACACAACTTCCTATAAGCAGACCAGCATGGCTAGGGAGGAATTCTGCCTTCAAGCTGCTTCATATAACAGGCTGAGCGCCTCTCACTCCTACTTGGCCGTTTACATCTGTTTGACAGATGCATTCCTTGGTACAGTCCTCCAAACACTCAATAAGCACTGTATGTGCTGTGCACATGTGCTTCTGTATGTGTGGTTTTACTTATTTACCTTGTTTGTTGACCATCTCTTTCACATCTGGAATGTCGCCTCTGTGAGAGTGGGTAGTAGATCACTACTATATTGTTTCTGTTGAGGACTGTGAACTTCTATGGCTAGCACATAGTCAGCACTCAGCAAACATTATTGAATAAATGGCTAAGTCTACCACACGCCAGGCCATGGAGGAAGCACTAAAAACATACAAAATTAAATAGGACTAACTTCTGTCCTCTGGAAATCCAATAAAGTGAGAGAAATAGTTACGTCCATGTCATGAAAGAATCAAGGGCAAAATAAAATAGGGTATGATTAGCAACATATCAGTCCAGATCGGTGATGGAGAAATGAAAGGTAAGAGAATGTGAATCAAATGCTTTTAGTGCAGGTCCCATTGAAGAAGGCCCTCCCAGCACAATCAGGTCTTCCCAGATGACTGGAGGAAACAGTGCAGTTTAAAGCTCTGAGGTATAACAGGATCAGAGGGAAGTCCTGTGTAGTCCTGGGGATGAGCAAAGAATGGGAATATATAACACTCACCAGGAAAGTGACGTTTAACCATTAAAAAAGAAAAAAAAAGAGGGTGGAACTGAAGCAAATGGGGTGGAATGTCAGCTGTGATTTGCTATTAGTGAATTAGTCCTCTGGAGGAGCCACTTTGGCAATATGGCACCATATTGATGGGATAGCCATCCATCCCATATCATATTGATGGGATAGCCACCCATCACAAGTCTCATGCTTTGGGAACAAGACTGGTATGCCCTTACTCATCCCAAAGGAGAACAGAGCATCTGGGCTGAGAGCAGCCAATGTGCATCCCACCCCACACTCAGCTGGACACTGAGACCCAAACTTCACCATCTACAATAGCAGCATTTCATGCTCTTCCTCTGACATCATTCACTTTATTCTTTCTGGAGTCTCCTGCGTAGACCAATGGCATGAGTGTTCATTGCAGAAGAAACTCTAAAATGGGCAACATCAACTGTTTCAACCCAAGAATTTTTGAATTCCTCAACTCAAAATTCTCTACTATTTTTATAAATCTGAACTGGAGTATCACAAGTACATGCTTGACGGTCCCACTAAGTCAAACTTCTCATTGTCAATGGATTCTGACCTTTTGTGACGGTCTTCTTTTCTTTTTCTTGGCTGGTCTGTTTAATGTGTTAACTAAGATAAGGTTCAAAGTTATTCAATCAAATACTACTCTAAGATGTTGCTATGAAAGTGTTT